AGAAATCCTGATTATAAACATACTTGTCACACACATTTTAGCAGAATGGGAAAGAGCATAAGTGATAACAGTATACATCAAAATGTTTACAGGTCGAAGTCACGGGTAAGAGGTCAGAAAATGGAGTAAGAATATGGGGAAATCACAGACTGAACCATAGTTCTGAAAGTGGATTACCAAGGAAGGTTTAAAGTAATGAAAAGTACGTGTGTGATCACAATCTCCGAAATATTTCACGCAAATAAATTCCACGTTTCAAATGAACTACGTCTTCTTATTGTTTTACCAGAATAACAGCTGAGTCAAAAGAAGCTCTTAAGACATCAGTTCGGTTGTGTACTATTCAGGGGAAAGACGTATTTATTAAAAAGTATTTGAAATATCCAAATAAGTTTCAAAACAGCCAGGCGAACACCAACAAATTGGATGAAGACGTGGGCAGTGAAGGCAGGAATTCAGGTGAACACAGAGAAGACGGAGATGATGGAAATAATCAACCAGCCAGCCAACCAACCAACAGCGGCGTCAACAACAACCAACGCTAATTACCATCAACGGGAGAGATTTAACTGAGATTACTTCCTGCCCTCATTTATCTAGTCAGCCGACATTGGTTCAACCACAGGCAGGCGGGCAGTACTGATGAAAATTTCAAAGCCAGCCAGCCAGAGAGGATCGGAACGGCAAGATACGTCTTCATCAACCTCAAACCAGTTTGAAAACCATGTCTTCTGTCTCAGCCAGCCAACTAGGATGATAAACAAGACTGGGATTCTGTTCAACACAAATGTGATGTCAGTCAGTCAGTCAGTGAGTTCTTCTCTACGGGTCAGAGACTTGCACTGTGCATGTGTCACGAGAAGGATTTCCAACAGCTTGTTGCAGACGTTCGTCAACAGCTGCATGCTTCACTGGCTCCATACTGAAGATCCAGTGGTCAGCCGTCCAATCAGAAGGAATTGTTAAGAAGAAACTGTAGCTGGGAACAAACCAACAGACAAGAGCCTTTTGCTGAACTAATATGTAGGCGAAAATGCAGATGGATCGGGTACACATACACACCAAGGAGGCCGTCGAATGACATCGTGCTCAGTGCAAGCGATCGCTTGAGTGGAATCCAAATGAGAAGTAGCGAGTTTGTTGTTGGCCTCCAAAGCCTCAGGATGGTCGGGGGTGGGTGCCTTGCGCTGCGGGTTGGCCACCCCTCCGCACATCTCTTGAAATGCTCCCATGTGACCGGGCGTCTTACATAGCCTCTCCTGAGGAAGTCCTACTCACTGCCTTCACGTGGCGGAGGTGTTTCTCACCAAAGTGAGAGGGCGAAAGCGGATGCCCGGCGCTCTCCACCGGGTTGACTGTCCATTGGATGACGGTCTAGGGGAGATGGCTAAACCCTGATTCCAAACCTCCAACGACTGGCGTATGAAGCTCACTGGAGCTCACCGGCAGACGTATGGACAAAGGGCTTGTTGGATGTCCTGGATGTCTGGCCCCATTCAAAAAGGCGTATGAACCGAACTCCGGTCACCGGCTTCCAATGGATAGTGGACTCCTTACTCCACTCCTACTGCCTTGTAGGTCACACTTGGCTGTGTAAATGCTAGAGCTGCACTCTCAAACAAAAGGCCGAGCGATGCTGGGGACATCACTCGTACCAAATTCCCATGAAACTTCATGAACTCTCTTACAAATTGCCGTGCCTGGGCAGCGATGATTCGAGACGTTCATGAAGCCGGCTCATCCTCCCATAGGAGATAGCCGAAGTAAAGTAAAGTAAAAGTAAGTTTGTTGTTGGTACGAGGGTGACACAGAGCAGATATGGACAACAATCGTGAACCCAGATGAATAGGGCAGTAGAAAATACATCCAAATGAAGATGTGTTATTGAAGAACTATGTTCCACTCGGAACCTAAGGGAATAATAAACATGATAATTGCCATCAGAATCAATTTACAAAGAATGCGTGAACCAGTTAAACAGTATGTCTATTTCACAAAGAAGAAGAAAAGAAGAAAGAAAGCAAGTACAAAGTAGGGGAACATATGAAGGATGTGGAAATCCACTGCACTCAACATTAGGGACAAGATCCGAATCTACCGTCAATCACTGTCTCTTTATGATTCATAAACTTGGCGTGGTCATCAAAACCATTTCGAACAGGCTACCGTAGACTTTCATCAACAACCGTCTTCTGATGTGGTTTTGTTCTCTGAGCTGGATGGTTAGTTTGCGAAGCTTTCATCACCTTACTTCAAATTGAAGTATGCGCTTAAGATGTCACCCAGTAAGGTGATGAAAGCTTCGCAAACTAACCATCCAGCCAGCTCAGAGAACAAAACCACATCAAAATCATCCACCTGAGCTACAAATCTTCTCTATCACATCTACAACCGTCTTCACTCCCTACTGAAGATTAGATGACTGGTCGGAAAGGATCAACAATAAGGCATTCTGGAAACCAACCAACCAAGGAACTATCCCTCAAAGAAATATGAAGAAGGCAGTAAAGACAGGTTGAAGACATACCGATTTATCCATGGAGTAAAACTGCACTCTAGGCATAACCTCAAGTGAAACCTGGATGGAAAACGACGAGTTGCTTGTGGGTCCTAGTGTGTGATATGGAAGAAACCATATGAGGAAGAGATGAGGGCTTATGTGTAGACATGCAGCCACCTAAAAGGGATTCCAGAAAACTGCATAATTTCAATAAAGCAAGGACAACAATGATTTGTGCAGAATACTATGGTACCATCGCTTATTTCGTTGGCTTCTCATCAGCTCAGCTGCTTACAGCCTAAATAAATTATGAGGTTTAAGTACAGAAACGTTTCAACATATTTGCAAATTTTACATGTTGTCAGTTGACAGAAATTTCCACAATTAGTAAATAGTGCTCAAAAAATTGCGCTTATATAGTTTTTAAACAGGCAGTTCAAGTTTAATGTATGCATACAATGGTAAAGGGTTTGCGTAATAAAGATGAGATGTGTGTTAGATGCATAGTGACTAATAAGTTAGGTAACAATGTACTGAGTTGAACTCAAATCATAGAAACAAAAGACAAGCAGAATTACAGATTATAAAAGGAGAGTGAGGTTAAAGACAAAAATTACATAATCGGATGAGAGAATAAAGACATAAGACATCCAGTTACCAGACAGGGCAAGGAAAGACTAATAACTGCTTCTTTATGAACACAAAAATCTGGTTTCAAGTGTCGGCAAACTTGAGGAGAATGGAGCTCCTTTGTGTATTGATAATTTTGAAGGATTTCTCAATTTCCACCTCATGACCCGTGTCGAGGGGATGTCTAGTAATAGCGCTACTATAAGAGTTTGTTCCCTTGAGACGTAGGCTTTTCGGCACATGTTCAGAAAATCGGAGGTGTGCCCTTCTTTCTGTTCTCCCAGTGTAACTGCTCCCGCAGATACACGTAAATTTGTATACACAGTTGGAGTTAACATGAGAAGGGTATCTATCGACTTTTGACTGCACCAAACAGCATGTTGTTCGATGAACGGGAACCAACTTAGCTGCAGGATAGGCTCTGCCTAGTGACGTACTCAGTCTTAAGTTGGCCATTGGTGGAACGTTTTCACCTCTAAAATCTAGTTGATTGAAGACAGGCTTTTTCAACTGTGATTTGTTTGATAATGGAGCCTTCACATCTTCCATATTTGTTAAGGAATCTTTGAGGATAACCGTTGTTTTTCATCACCTTTTCGAGAATCGTTAATTCTTCCTCTAGTTTCTCTGCAGAGCATATTCTCCTCGCTCTATAGTACGGAGTCTCGACTAGTGCTCGTTTATAGCTATTTGGACAAAAACTATTAAAATGCAAGTATTTTCCATTCCATGTGGGCTTTCAGTAGATTGACTTCTGGAGACCACCATCTTCTAGGCGTTGCATGGCAATGTCAAGGAAATGGAACTTTCCATCATTTTCATGTTCTATAGCAAATACAATATTTGTATGTGGAGATGTGCTGCTGAAAGCCTATCTCCCACTCCAAGTGCAATGGAATATTATTAATCCAGGAATCAATATATTGGAAAGAATGTTAACCCTTATAAATAGTATAACGTTATTATGGAGGTAGACGATAGAGGATGAAGAAAAGGTAACGACTTTCTGAAAAATTAACAAACTTATTCTACTTATAACTAGTAAGTAGTATAACTTTGATCACATAAAAAATATTACAATGATGCCAAATATGGTGAGAAATTACTCACCTCATCCAAAATACACAGTTTAATCTGATTCAAGGTTTTGGAAAAATATTACCTGAAATTCAATTCCTTACGAACAAACTATCTGTTGTATTTAATGCATAATAAGATTCAGAGATGGATCTGAGACAACTGCAGCTATATACCGATTTGCCATTAGATATTTTTGATTTCGCTGAACCGAAAACACCACTTGAAGTCAACTTTGTGTCACTCATCTGATGTTCCCAAGCGATAAAACCAGGAGGCTCGTTTCCTCGTCTTTGAGGAATCTTGTGATTCTCAATGGGAATATCATCATTTTTTTGGGATGTAAGTAAACTTAGTTCATGAGGCCAGAATGGGACGAAACACATGTCTTGAATAACACTGCTACCTACCATTAGTCGAATAAGTTGAATTCGAAGACATTTATTTGGTGCTCAGTAACTTTGAAAATGTTCGAATGAAAGCTCATATAAGTAGAATTTATTTCTACTTCTTGAAGAGTCCCACTATAGTGCGAAACAAAATCTTCATTACTCTTAAGTACTTTAGTGGCTCGATTCCTACAAAACTATTAAGTGAAAAGCTTTTTATTGTGAAGACAATAAAACTTGTAGACAGCTGAATAATTGTGTGTCCAAGATTTCAAGCTTTTTTCAAAGTATTGCTGAAAAGAATGACTAGTTAGACGTTGAAACAATAGTCATTAGAAGTTTTGGCTAATTTTTACAGACCACTTCTATGCAAGGTAGAATTATTTCATTTCTTTCTCTTACAGAAACGATTAAAGGAAGGAAATCTTCTTGGAGTCGCTGGAATTGATGTACCATTACAATCATTTCAAGATACGCTACGTGGATGGAAGGTAAGTGGTGTTTGAGAACAGTCAAATATGCAGATTTTTACTATTATCAGATCAGTAATCACGTTTTTTGTCGGACTTGTGTGCCAGTAGTGTATTTGTACGCGCGTTTGAAAGCCTTGAGGTGGCCACACTCCATGTAGCACCCAAAGGTATACATAAGACAGAACACAATTCAACGAGATGTTATAAAGTGAAATGTGCAGAAGAGAGAAATATTTTGCGCAGTTCAGTGGACATGAGAGATCACACAGAGAGTGAATATATCTGCAATGGTAAGAACCATTTTGGGCCATATCATCAATAATCTCCAACTAATGTTTATTATCATCGTAAGGACACCAACCGGGCAACCTATACCTCTTTGTGTGGCTTAAATCAACAGTGATAGACATCATGGATAGACTCAAGATTTTGTTTTAGATCACTCATAGCTTTTCTCCAAACTAATCCTTTGTTTTTTCGTTTTTTTTCAAAGTATTGGTTTTGTAGGGATTTTGTGTTTGATTGGATGGAAGATTTCATCATGAGCTGACATTGGTTACAGAACCACTGGAAAACCTCCGGGGAGAACTGGACAGCTGTTTCGTCCTAGTTTTGGACCAGAAGGCCCTGGGTTCGGACCCCGGTATATGCGTACCTCTGAAGATTCACAAAATAGAACGAAACAGCTGCACAGAAATCCCTGGCGGTTTTCCAAAAGTTCTCTAACTGATGTCAGCATATGATGAAATCCTCTAGCCAAACAAAGAAAACCCCTACAAAACCAGTACCTGAAAATTAATCTGATGCTGACTATTGACTAGTGGTATTCAAGCAGTTAACCTGGGCTTCTAGTGGGAAGCTGTAACCAGTAGGGTACAGCAGCAGATTGAATGAAGGTGAGGCAGTAACTCATCGAAGAAGACATTGCGAAACGGTCGTCCTATGCTGTGCGTGAATTGGCAGAAGTTAGAATTGATGCACTGGCACCTGGATCATGTCCCAGTGGCTCAATGGTCTGCTTGCTAGCTCACCTTGTAACCAGAAGGTCTTGGGTTCTAACCCTCTGTGATGGGTGCGTACTGCTGAAGAGTCCCGAGATAGGACGAAACAGCTGTCCAGTACTCCAGTGCTGGTTTTCTAGTGGTTCTTTAACTGATGTTAGCTCATGATGAAATCATTCAGAATAGCTATATGGCAAAAATACATCAAGATGTGGTATTTTCGACTAAGCCATTGAAAAGGAATCTGTAGGTCATCTGTTAGGCTATGACAGTGGTTCAAATCGCTAGACAATGTTGCTTAAAATCAATATTAGGAGTGGAGAATGGATCTGAACCCTTTCTACTCTTACTAAATGTAAACACCATAATTTTTGATTTCTCATTTACAAAAATCTTCAAGGTGAGTTAGAGTGCAGGACCTCAGTTGAACAGCCTCACTAATAACTTTCAGTTCAACAGCAAGTGTATTAAAATGGAAAACTTGGGTTGTAGAAGATAAATTGAGTTAACTATTAAGAATAAATTCTCAATAGAAGGCAACTCTAATCCACTCTAAACCTAACCCCATCCTAAGCCAAACTAGATCCTGACGTTAAACTTACAGCCATTTGAATAAATCTCAACAGTGAGATGATAAATTGAGAGTTATCGTCTCAACATTTTAAAGAAAGGTATCCTAATTAATATTTCTGGACTTCTTCGAACAGTCCTTTTTATGCATATGATGTTATTTACTTAGTTTCACTGGTTTGTTAGTAGATTCAAGGTGATTGGTGCGCTTATCGGCTTGGAGCCTTATAGTCTAACCTCACCGTTTATAGACTAATGAGTAATAGCACTAAGTGGTACATCGAAAAACCTAAACGATGAAATGAAACAGATAGAAGTGTTGGTGTTAAATGACTCTCTCTCTCTCTCTCTCTCTCCTATAAAATTCATTAGGAATATCAAAAAGGGTCAAAAGCAAAATAAAAATGATATTGAAACTAATAATGATAATATAAATAAGAGAGAATATAAGGCGTCTACAGTAGTTGTACTATATAAAGAGGGAAGGGACATCTGAGACCCTGCGTAGGATTCTCAATAAAGCAGGAATTAGGGTGACATTCAAACCTACAGACTCACTCAGGCAGAAACAAGCTCGTAAGTTAAAGGACTGTGTCGGTTGACCCAATTAAACAAAATAATATAATTTACAAAATACTTTACAATGAGTATGAGTGTGGTCACCTGTATGGGTCAAACTAGTAGGTTGGGGGTAGTTAGACTGTCGGATTCCACGAAGATAAGTAATTGCAATTGCATTGCATGCATTAACACACAACCACAAAATAGGGTGTGTTGGACAGAGCCAAAATTCTAAAAAGTAATATAGGTAGATAGGTGGAGACAGAGAGAGCTTGATTACTGAATCCTTGTTCATCGAGTCTACACACAACACACGCAACAGAAATGACTCAATGCAAACACCAGAGATATGAAGGGTGTTATTACCACCAGTCTGTTAAATCAGAGGAGGGTAATAAATAATCTCAAAATTCTATTTCAATTCACAAACATCATAAAATTCTAACAAGTTGCTTATTTTGACTATAAAAACACTCGTCTTACTTCCCATCTGATTGTACTTGATTGATAACAGTCATTTTATTATTTCTGAATATACATTATCCCATATTACTTTTTATTCAAATGTCTAATCATCAATTCCACTCATGTATATAAATGAAGCAAAAAAGGTTGTGTGAGTGAGTGCCTTGATATGATTATGAAGAGTAATGAACTGTGCTCGAAACATGGTCATCAGTAAATATTACTGTACAACAGAACTGTGTGATTTTATCAAAATAATCATTTGTCCATAATGGAGGTACCTAAACTGTTTGGAAAGACGCAGCCTGAATTCCAAAATCCCTAACTAACGGATCTTCGGATTTAAAAATTATCAAAATTTCATCATGAGCTGACATTGGTTAGAGAACCATTGGAAAACCTCCGGGGAGTATTGGACAGCTGTTTCGTCTGCCTAGTTTGGGACTGACTCTTCATCAGTAAGCACCCATCACAGGGGTTCAAAAGCAGGATCTTCTGGTTACAAGACGAGCCCGTATGCCACTGATCCACTGGGACCCGACAATCCAATGGCCCATGAATTCTAACTTCTGCGCGACCACTAGCCAATGTCTTCAGCGAGTATTTGTCCTCACAACCGAGCTGCTGCACCCTACTATTCATGACATCTCACTAGAACCTAACTGAATACGGCCAGTCACCAGTGAGCATCTCATCGATATTCAAGTATTGGTTTGTAGGGATTTGGTTGGTTACAGTATTTCATCATGAACTGACATTGGTTAGAGAACCAAACTAGGACGAAACAACTGGCTGTCCAGTACTCCCAGCAGGTTTTCCAATGGTTCTCTAACTAATGTCAGCTCATGACGAAATCCTGTAACCAACACTTGTTTATCAAAATTATTCCTTGTTACTCATCACACTACACTATCTTAAAAAACAGGGAACAAAATGCACGTGCCTATGATTAAATATGGTCAGCCTCTTTCAATTTCGCCCCCGTGATTCGAGAGGAATGAACAAATAGCACTGCAAAGATACCTGTTCGGTAATTTCATCCTCAAAAACAGTAGCTGTACAATCGCATTTATTTACATAAGTTTACATAGGCATAATTGAGACTTTATTCCAAACAGTGACAAAGGGAGAGATTAAAAGTGATAGTAATTTGTCGATTTTATATGAAAGTTTGAAGGTGTGAATATGGATTACAAAAGGGGTTAGAAATAAAATTACACAGGATTTACAATAACTTCCTAACAAAGATAACTGTTGAACGGAATGACCACGGAAGTGAAATGAAATGTTCTTTTAGAATCGAGCCCCAGTGACTGAATGGTCTACAAGCTTGCCTTGTACCCGGGACATCCTGAGTTCCAGTCCCATGGGTGCGCGTACTGTCAATGCTTCGCGAACAAGGATGAAACAGCTGACTGTCCGGTACTCCCTGTGGCTGGTTTTCAATGGTTCTCTAACTGACATCAATCCGTGGGCAAACATTCATAACTAAAACGAAAAAAATATCATGAGAGGAATGAAAGAAAACCAAAAACTATAAAGCCAAACCGAACAAGATCCACAGTGAATGTACAGGTTGAACCAGTTTCTTTTGTTCACATAGCTTCGACGTTTTGATGCATATGGTGAGAGCATCTGCACTACAAGAAAGTCGGAAACACACTGTCTTTGTTTACTTTGTGCGTCGGTGGTATAGCGGTTAGGACGCTCGCCGACCATGCACATAGTTCAGGGTTTGATCCCCGGCCGACGCACTCCTTTACCTCGCTAAGCCAGAAATAAAACCTTGTAAAGAGGAAAGGTTGGGCATGGGGCTAGCAACCCCATCGTCTAAACTAAACTCTGCTACAGAAACTTCAAGTCACTAGCTTGGAGCCCTATGTTCCACTGGGGAACGTGAAGGAAAAATTATTATTATTATTTGCTTACTTTGTAAATGACTCTAAATGATGAGCCAGTATAGATACTCTGTTAGGTAGTGACGAGCTATTCAATTGTGGCGCTGCTGACTGAAGTAGGACCTCCTCTTTGCAATCATCTTGAGTAATGTTCTCTATCACCTTTCCAAAAAAAGCCCAAGAATGACCCATTTACCTAGCTCCACACAAGCAGGTGAACTGGTATATGCACACTGAGGGAGTTTGTCCTTCACATTGTTTAGAAGCACTGGGAGTCTGAGTAAAAGGTCTACTTTAGGAGACTATAAATTCTCCTAGTGAGGATATCTGCTGTTAAGTTTCCCCTGAAATCCAGGTATACATACAGCATTTTCCTTGACACTGAAGTGCATTCTCCTCTTTCTGACTTCCGTTTCATGTTCTTCTTCATACAACATGCTAGGTATCCATTCTGAGACAGGATATTATGGAGAAATAACAGCTCTTCCTCTAGGCAGGCAATTCTGCGAATAGTTCTCATACGATGAGTGAAAACTCTTTTTCAATTCACTGGTATCCAACTACAGAAGTTTGTCAGTTGGTCGTCCCGTAATGATCTTCAGCGGAGAGGTCTTTTCAGAGACAATTCCACGACAGCCGCCTCTTATTCAACAGGTCATATCAATTATTATTTAATTCAGTTTTAGATTTTCCCCTCCACTGATTGGATCGAAGTGCTCGGTCCAGATGATAAGTCCCAAATAAGATGAAATGCGCATCCTGGATTCCACTGCTAGCCATCATCCACCAATTAACTACTTTAAGGCAGAAGGTTGAAGTCGAAACACAAAAAAAAGATATAAGTTTAAGCACAATGGAGAATAAGTTGCGTAATAATGAAAAAAGCTGGATAAGTAGATGGTATGTTGCGTAACAAAATATATCGACTACAACTCGAATCATAGAAACAAAAGACAAGCCAGATTATATAGAGGAGAATGGGGTAGAGGTTAAAACCAGAGGTTACGTAATCAAATAAAAGCTAAACGACCGAGAACTGTTATTCTCTGAATACAGAAACCAGAGTTTCAAGAGTTTAATAGCAGTTACTTTGAAAAACTTACGGAGTACTGAACTATACTGTCTATTAATAATTTCAAAGGATTTCAGAGTGTCCACCTGTTGACTCACAAAACTGTGATGCTGGCTGGCCCTGGGGTTAATGAAAGCGTTTGTTCCCTTGAGACGTAGGCTTTTGGGTACATGTTCAAAAAATAGAAGATCTCCTTTTCTTACTATTCTCTCAATGTATCTGGTACCACAAATATATATATAAATTTCGAAAACACGATAAGAAGACGTAGTTTATCTGAAACGTGTGTAATGTATTGGCGCAATACCTGCCGATTATTCTGATCACACACGAGTACTTGTCATACACAGTTTGTATAGAAGTCAAGAAGGCATGAATCAGTACATTAGAGGTCAGATTGTGTACAGGTCAAAGTTACAAATAATTGGTAGGGTGATGACGCAAAGGTGTGGATAAGAAAGATAGAAAAGAGAAAACTGAACAAAGAAGGGGTTTGAAAATATTATGAAGTAAATTGATCCTTAGTTCTAAATTGGATTACCAAGGCAGGTTTAAGGTGATAATAACAAATAACTTTTGGATACACATTACAGGTTCATATCTTTTTATGGCTAAGGCTTCAACGAATTTAAGTATCTGGCCAAACCTTATTTTATATATCGGTTTGAAGGCATTGTTGAAATCAACCCTATGACGCGTCTCTATAATATGCTTTGTTATAGATGATGTTGGACATTTATTTTCGGGGTCACTTGTGTCTGGCAAATGTGTTCTGTAGCTTTAACCTGCAGAGACTGATGAGTCCTCCCTATGTACGTGTCTCCACATATACATGTAAATTAATAAACACAGTAGGATACGACACTATGGTTCGGCTACTGTGAGGGTTTATAGGACAGCATAGTTCTCGTTTTCTCTATGAAGATAAGTTTAGCTGCATAATAGGTTCTATTAATTGTGGCCTTGAGTCTTTGTCTAGTGACCAGACTTTGTCAATCACCTTTGAACCGCAAGGATATGTAAACATTCTTTTTGCGAGCTGATTGGATTGGTAGGGCTCTATGGTTGACACTTCCATAACGCCTAATAAATCTCAGTGGGTAATTGTTATCTAACAATATTTCAGTGAGGTGTTGTCTTTCTTCTTCAGTTGTATCGGTAGTACATATACGGTGAATTAAAGCGCTTGAACAAACATTTAATCAACGCCTTTCTATACTGTAGTGGACAGAAACTATGATAATTTAGATACTGTCCCATCCATGTAGACTATCTGTAGACAGATCGTTTCACTGACCCATTTTCTCGGTGGCTTATGAATACATCTAAAAATGTCAAGCAATCACTGTTCTCTTTAATGTATTTTAGCGATATACTGTTTTGTACTCAATTAAAAATCTAAGCAGAACATGGTTTTGTCCTTTATATCAATGTTATCAAGACAATCAATTAACTCAAAAGTGTCTTTCAATGAGAACTTACAGAAGCTTCTTTTAATAGGCTCTAATGTTTCCATTAGCCACTGCGCAGGTTTTTGGGTTAGTGATCTGCACATTGACATTATGGGACGTAGAGGAATGTTAGGCTTATGTGTTTTGGGCAGACCATACGTGTGTGGTATTAGGAACTGCGTGGGCTTTAAAGGGTTGAATTTCTCTATGTTAATTGCATTCATGTTCAAGAGTTTTACTAGATAATTTGTCACCATATTTTGTACATTCTTTACATCCTCCAGACTGGAGTCTCTCATAAATTTATCCTTGTTTCTAATATATATAATATTTTTCCTTCACGTTCCCAGTGGAACATAGGGCTCCAAGCTTGTGGCTTGAGGTTTCTGTAGCAGTGTTTAATTTTTACAGGACGGGGTTACTAGCCTCATGCCCAACCTTTCCTCTTTACCAGCATTATTTCTAGCTCAGTGAGGTAAAGGAGTGCGCCGGCCGGGGATCGAACCCCGGATCATATGCATGGTCGGCGAGCGTGCTAACCTCTATACCACCGACGCACTGTTTCTAATATAATATAGATATATACAATATAACATGTTTACTTTTATATTCAATTTTGTCCATTATAACTACACCAGACCCTTTATCTGGTCTGAGGATAACGATGTCAGTATTATGTTCGAGTTCTTTTAGCGCTTTAAAGTGCTCAGATGTTAGGATACTTTTCTGAAATGTACGACTATTGCAAAATTCGTGAGCGATGTCAACTAACTCTGCTTCCAAGCAATTGTGATCATCTTCAGAAACGGGAGTAAGAGGCTCCAGCTGACTTTCAAATTGTGCGTGTACTTCGAGTTCTGAGAAATACTTTTGAGGAACGCAAAACTTAGGTTCAAGTGATAAGGCTTGTTCCTGTAGTGACGCAAGTGTTATAGAAGATAGATTGACAACGTATTTCTCTGGATTGACAGGGAAAGGAGTCATTAGTTTATTGTCACTAAGCAATTTGTCTAGCTGCTTACGTATGTTTGCTCTTGTTTTGCCAGTGAGGGATGCACAGAAGGCAAGAAATTTCATCTGACATATTAAAGATAATTCCGACAAAACATTACACGTTTCAGATAAACCACTTCTTCTTATTGTGTTGTCAAAATTCATAAAGGCATATATAAATTTGATTGGTTAGAGGATTTCATCATGAGCTGACATCAGTTAGAGAACCACTGGAAAACCTGCAGCCTAGTTCGGGAATCTTCATCAGTACGCACCCGCACCGTGGTTTTCAAGCCCAGGAACTTCTGGTTACAAGGCAAGCGAGCTCATAGACCATTAGGACACTGGGACACACCAATCCAATGGTTAGCCAGTCCATGAATTCTAACTTCTGCCAATTCAAGACATAGCGCAACCACTTTGCAATGTCTTCTTCGTTGAGTTACTGCCTCATCCTCAACTGGTCACGGCTTCCCACTAGAACCCCAGGTTAACTGCCTGAATGGGTCCAGTCGCTAATGAGCATCAGATTAATTAATTTTCAAGTATTGGTTTTTGTAGGGATTTTTGTATTTAATTGATTGGAGGATTTCACCATGGGCTGACGTCAATTAGAGAACCACTGGATTATAGGACACTCCAACCAATCAATTACAATCACTACAAAACCAAATGCGCGTAGGTGGCATAGCGGTTAGGAGGCTCTCCGGCCGATGCATTCCTTTACCTCGCTAAGCCCGAAATAATGTTTATAACGAAGAAAGGCTGGGCATGAAGCTAGCAATCCCATCCTGTAAAAATTAAACACTGATACAGAAACTTCAAGTCACTAGCTTGAAGCCCTGTGTTCCACTGGGAATGTGAAGGACGAAAAAACCAAATACTTGAAAATATATTTAAATTTCTTTACACAGTTAAAGTGGTGGTGCTATTTCACACCTATCTTCGTGTTAACTTGCATTGCTATTGTTATGTTCTCGTCGACAAATTATTGTTATGGACTGGTCGAGAAACTAATAGTCCTGACGCAAGAATGCGGAAATCAGAAGACCACTAGGTTTGCGATGATACTTCTATTTCCAAACACAAGGAGAATGCAAAAGTGGTATCACACCAAAGTGGTAAGTAAGTGTAAGTCAGTCAGTAAGTCACACAAATTGTGAATGCGAAATATGTATGAATGTTCCAGACAAAGTGTATGAACAAATCATTAGACAGTCTTAACAAGAATGGCTAATTATAATGAAATATCGATCCATATATACATAGCAAAATATAGCAGGCATGTCAACAACCACCATATATGGATATATGTCACCAAGCAACGGACTGTCAACAAACACTCATATTATATATAATATAATATAAGGAGAACATACATTGTTAAAGGAGACAAGTTCATACAAGTGAAATGGTCACAGACTAAGCGAGCAAACAGAAAGAGAGACCAACATACACACACACATAAATATATATATGTGGATACATATCAGCTATGAATCATTTCTTTCCCACCTTTGACCTTCGTTGTCATTTATCTCTCTTCAGATTGGTGTAAATAATTATCTCTTCGCTGTAGACAACAATGGTTTCATTCTCTTCCATCCAAACTATCGACCAGTTGTAAGTGGGTTATTTACATTCCTTCATATGTTGTTCTTTTTTGAATTATTTTATTACGCTATTAATGATTAATCAGTTTTAAATAAGGCATTTAGAAGACAAATTTCGCGAGATAATTTCTTCATTTCGTAGTCTCTTTAAAACCGCTTTACAACTAACATGATTAACGATAATAAAATAAAGATCATGACAATTACTCAGTTAAATAAAAGGCAAAAGTACATACTAATGACCAATCATATTTAAAACGTCATGCAGTCGGTTCATGGTAGGCGAAGATTGAAGTCTATTGACTTTTGTACACACAGTTTAGGATGGATGTATGCGATTAATCCAAAATGCTTCCATCATCACCTTCAATAACGAACCCTGAATTTGAGTTATGTGAAATAATTGTGAAACAGTCATTAATATTGATTGATTTTGTGACCTGACATTAATAAGTGTTTTGCAATGGATGATGATGCTGGATTCCTTTCTATTCAGATTAATCGCATTGGGATTTTCTATATGATTTAGTAGCCATTTTCGAACATGTTCTTTCCAACCGCGACATTGGAACATTCTGTTGGTTCTACCTATATAGGGGTCACCGCTACAACTGCAGGTGAACTTGTAGATACAGTGTGAATGAAGTAGAGTCCACATAATTTCGTCCTTTAATCGTAGCCACAAGGATGGAAAATGTTCGGCAAGTGAGAAAAAGAGATGTGGCGGCGTAGAACGTACATTTGATGGCTGACCTAAGTCTCTGAGCTAGCTTTCAACTGCATAATCTGGTCACCTTTGAATAGTAGTTTAACAAAGATAGATAGCTTTCTTTGGTACAGAAGCTGTCTTTTCGAGATGTGGTCTATCCTTACTGTGACAAGTGATAAAGTTTTCCGGATAACCATTAGCTAATGAAACTGAATGTATATATGTCGAAACTCATCCATCAATGTATCACTCGTGCATACTTTTTCGGGCCCCTGAGAACAAATATTTTACTAAGGAACGTTTATACTGGATAGGAACAAAACTGGTAAAATGAAGATATTGTCCACTCCATGTCTGTTTACGAAAAACGGATCGCTGAATCTTTCCACCATCTCGCCTGGTCATTGTAATGGTCAGGAAACTGAGTTTGTTATTCGATTCGAGTTCGGAAGTCCCTCGGATATTTGGATGAATATGTTTAAATAGGGTAATAAAGTTTTCAATAGATTTACCATTATTACCAATAATGAGAGTATCATATACATAACCTGTATATAGCATAAATCCGAATAGAAATCCAGCATCATCGTCATCCATTGCAAAACACTTATTAATGTCAAGTCACAAAATCAATATTAATGACTGTTTCACAATTATTTCATATAACTCTAATTCAAGGTTATTATTGTTAACCATGTTAGTTGTAAAGAAACTACGAAATGAAGATATCACCTGGCTAAATTTGTCTTCAAAATGCATTATTCAAATTTATCAAAGGTACTAATTGTTTTAATAATCAGTTTTAGATTAGACTTCTATCGAAACATTGAATTATGCATTGGAATTGAATACCATTGAACATCGATCAGTATCTTTAAATAATAATAATGATGAGTTTGTGATATGACCGGTTATATGACCACATAATAGACCGAGAGGTATACGGAACTAGAGCATTAATAAAAAACCTCTCTAATAGTTAACCACACAGCCAAAAGCAATAACAATTATTCTTGTTATACAGCTAGCTCATGAAAATAATAAGATGAGACGAACCATTGATAAGAGACCATTTACTGTCTCATAAAACAGTCAAAACACTAATTATCGACATTGAACGTATTATTCAAATATGGCGAAAATATTTCATTCAGACATTTACAAAAAATATTGAGAAAAGAATATCCGCCTTTCGGTAATTTCCTCTTCTGGCTCTACAATTACACAGGTGTATTTATATATACATAGAATATTCTAGAATACTAGTCAATAACAATATTGGTGCGTTTTTAAATCCTATCGATTTCTAAAGTAAGATCAAAATGGAATTACAGTTGAAAAAAGACGCTTAAGTTATCACAAACATAAAAATGTAATAGAGAATAGAATATCAACTAAAATTATTGAGGAAATCCCTACAACAAATTGAGGATAATTAGAACCTTGGCGGCCAAATTAAGGACAATGTCTGAACTAGCTTCTTTTGGACACATAAATTAGGCTTATTAATGTAAATCCCAACAGTCAGTCTCAACAATATTTAGTAGTCGAACTCTTAAGGCAAAGTTCATATTTCTTGTTATGCGGTAGATGACTTTGAAAGCTGCCTCGTTGACATCAATCTTGTGTTCTGTATCCACAAGATGAGACAGAATACAGTTATGAATGGATTTTATTTGTCATTTCCTTTAACACATAAGGTGATGTTTAGAAATCTGACAATGAGTATGCCTATTTGTCGTCGTTGGGGTAGTAGAATTTTCCAGATATCCGACTGGACAGGTGTTGAATCATTCCTATTACACGTATTCTCTTCAGTTGATTCAATAAACAAAGCTTGTGTTATCAATCTCTCCCTCCACCCTGTGACATTAGTTACTAAAACTATCACTAAATCCCATCCAGTCTATTTGTATGGTTGTGTGTAACTGTATGCAGTGAGTGGTATATCTGAACTATTCTCTAGATTTCTTATCTTATTCGGGTCAACCAATCTAGATTTCGCTGGTAGGTTTTATGCTCGGCTAGTCTGACTGCTCCTGTTCTACTACTTCGACCTGTGTATTTCACCTGACAATCATTCCAGCAGGGTATTAGATAAACTAAATTGTTTTGTTTAACTGGCTCCACAGGTTTGATCCTTTAGTCTACAAAGCTTGTTTCTAATTAAGTTTGTGGGTATGAATGCCAGTCACTTTTATTCCTGCCAGCATTGTTAAGAATTCTGCGTAAACTGGTTTCCGAGGTTCCTTCTTTGTTTGAAATTACTAAAGATGATTTAGATTCCTTATTGTTGGTGTTGTCATTAACATGCGCAAGATGGGATGATTGGAAGTCCAAATATCTGTTTGAATGTGTAGGTTTTCTGTAAACGCTAGTGTGTTTAACTTGCCATCTTCTTTCCTTTTTACGCTATAATCTAACATTGGAGGTACCCTTTCCTGTGTACGTGTAATAGGAATGCTTCAACACCCGTCCAACCAAATATCTGGAAAATTCTACTACCACAGCTACAACGACAAATAGGAGAGAACAAAGAAAACCATAAAACTCAAGTTTCGAAGTCGTGTGATTATAATTGATGAAATGATTGTGAACAATAAATAAATAGCTTTCGAAACGTCATCCAGTAAATAATACTGTTTCACTGACTGTGTGATACATCTAATAAACAAACTAGTATGGAATTACTGACTACCACAGTGCTCAAGTTTTACACATATATTAATATGTTATGAAATGATTTTTTTCTTGGTGTATTCATGTCAATCGCCATTTTGTGTTTCTTTTACTTTTACGTCTTTTTATTTCCCCAATATTTAAGTATAAATCACTTTTGAAAAGTTACTATCAGAATGTTGATATCAATGAAGTTGAAGTGATGAAAGATGTAAAAATTGATCCGGTGAGTTGAATGTTTTTTTTAACCTGAAAATTAAATAGCCTTTTTTTTGAATAAATAGTTTGCCCTACCTTGAAACTCTTTAACACCTTTAGACAAGATATTGACGTAAATACTCCTTGTCATTGTAATGACTGATAAAGAAAACTTATGGTTCAAGTGGATACTTTCAATGCTGTTGTATTTACACTAAGCTGAATAGTTTAACTGCGAAAGTTTCAGTATCTTTCTAGACAATATAATCAATCCATCTTCAAAATGAAGTGAACGTTTTGAATCAATATGAAGTAAGTAGTGGTAAATAATCACCCTTAGAGTCTCCAGGAATGGTGTTGTCAATGACATTCATGAAGAAAATATATTACAGCCAAATATGAAATTGTTCATGAGGAATCTGACTTTCATTGACTTTGTAATATAAACTAAAAGCTGTATAAATCAAGTTATGTAATCAGTTTATTGTAAAGTGAATGTCTAATTGGATTTTAGATTTTCCCGTCGATTCACTGGACTGAAGTGATCGGTCTCAGGTTGACATGTCTGTTGGCTTGTTGTGCAGATGCTTCGACGATGTTTGAGCATGTAATTAGAATTTAACTGGTGGATGGTGACCAACAGTGGAATCCAGGATAACGCGCATTTCAGCCTATTTGGGACTCGTCAGCTAACTGGATGTATCTGCATTCCCCAGTCACTGAGTGGTGATGTTCCCACCAACACTCGAACTCAGTACCCATAGTTCCAAACGCCAAAGCGTTATTCACTAGACCACTTGGCCCACGAAAATCACTGCCACTTGTGCAACAACGGGTCATATTAATTATTTTATTGAATTTTAGATTTTTCCGTAGATTGATTGGATAACGCTCTGGCGTTTCAAACTATGGGCACTGGGTTCGAGCCTCGGTGGGAACATCATCACTGACTCACTGGAGAATACAGGTATATCCAGTTGACGCGTCCCAAATAGGACGAAATGCTCTTCATCCTGGATTCCACTGCTAGTCACCATCCACCAATTAAGATGAATGTCCTTCAATAAGGAGCTATTGAGAAGGCGTTCAGTGAAGAATTACTCTTTTCAGCGATATAATTCCAAGATCATACAACCGAATATACATCCAGTACATTTTCATAGTATCAAAAGGGAAGTTTTCAAAGATGTGTCACTAAAATTGTAAGTTTTACACACTGGTTACGTAATACAGAAAGGGCTAATCTCTCATAGAAACTATAATAAAGTGAGATAAGTAAATTGCGTGACATAATGTAATTGCAAGAACTGAGTAGGTCTCAATTAAAACTCAAAGAGAGTCCAGTTAAGATTGCTGAGATAAGGAATAGTAATGGGATGGTGGGAAAGGAGAAAAACAATAAAACTTTAAAAAGATTTTTCAAAAATAAAGATTAATAAAAATTACACATCAAAGGTAGAGATAAATTAGATCGATTGCAGGTTCAGCGATTGAACAAACTTCTTCTGTATACAGAGTTTAGGATTTAACATGTGGTTTGAAGAAGTTTGATGTGTACTCCTTTGGGAAGATTTATTTGTACTCTACAGATGACTGTGAAGTCGGTTTCCAAGTTTGTTAGGTGGCCAAAGTGGACAACCCCTTCGTTTTTGTATCCATGATCATTAACTGGCTGGCCGTCCAAAGACATGACATCCGCTACCTCATATCGCTTCACTGCAGACAGACAACCACGGACATCATTTCGACTGGGACAACCAACGCCCAAATATTAGACAGAGGAAACACCAAGAATGCTAGGCAAAGAAGGCAAAGTTCTATAATAGTGTCTCAAGAAATACGAATGCACGAGTGACTTTGAGTTGACCAATCAGAAAAATGGAGGATTTTCGCATAAAAATGACGTGTATTTACATAAAAAATGCATGAAAAATCATGAAACAGGGTATTTTTGTCTAACATGAGATAAAAGGATGTCCCAATTATACTGGGGGGGGGGTGTTAGTTTTTAAATTAAACCAATTCCTGTACATGTATTCATCTAGGTGACTTAAAATAACTTGATTTTGAGAGCCGTTCATAGCTCTTATTCTATTTTTTAGTCTTCCTCAGAAACCTTCTATTGAATTAGTATGAGTCCCGGTTCCGGGATCGATGAAGTCATCAGAATGGTTAACTCGGTGGTGTATATATCCCAAATCGGAAAAGCGGTTATATGCCGCCCATTCATCCATGTGAATGTTAGTGTCTGGCGAGATGAGTCTTTGAATAATAGGGAGAAGAGTGTCAGCACTCCTATCTGGAATAAGTTCAATAAATCCTGTCGTAAATTCCCAATACCCAAACGTCATTTGCTCTAGCACGTCCTTGATTGTATTTCTTCTCTATAAGCACCGTTTCGTCGATATGAACGACAACACCGACTCCTCCCAACACTTGTGTAATACTGTTAATTTTCCATGACGCAAAATCTTGACAAAATTAGAACCACTGCACAGTAGACGTCAATTCATTATCTGTTTGAGCAGCAGTTGACCTCACACTGGACTTCAAAATCCTTTAATGGCATAGAAACAGTATATTCGTCAAGGAAAATTTCAATTTTTCAAAGAAAGTTCCTAGAAGACAATTAACTGAGAGTGTCACTTACCAGTACGAACACTTATTCGTTTCCTACACTCTGTTTATCTAAATATATATCCCTCAATGACCTGGGAATACGGTTACAGGTTCATTGAAGCACCACAGCTACATATACGAGGACGTCTAATCAATCCATTATCCAGGCAGTATTGAAATATATTATCTGGGTGAAATTTGCATCTGAGTAGATGAACACCGTTCATTTTCGCGCTAGAATAATGATAAGTCTCCTCAACCAACCACTGGCAAGCGTTCAGGGTCATTTGAGCGTTCGCACTCCTGGGACGCTATTGTTGAACTTCGCCCCAGAGAATTTTTAGAAGCCCACCTGGTATTCCAGCGAATCGTGAATCAATAGATACACTGACATAGACGGAATTTACCAATCGATAAGATGGAAGTCTCACACACAACAGATAAAACTTCAAGTCAAGGAAACAATCAATACCAATACAAATAAAAATAGAATAGACGGTGCGAAAACACACGGACGCAATCAATCACGTTCAGGGTCACCCACGAGGAGGGATGACCAATAAACTCGCTGAGATATCTAAAAACCTAACTTGAAATTTAAATTTATGCACTGAAGATGTTGCCTAGTAAATAGGGCGATGAAACCTTTGCAGATAAACCATCCAGCTAGGTCAGAGAACACAACTAAATCAAAATTCATGAAATTCTTTGGCAATGTCTTTATCATCGGCTTTATGTATGATTAAACTGTCTTCAAACATAATCGATTATCTGTAACATTTGTTTATTTCCAGTGGTCTGGGTCACCGGATTATAATACTACAGTAAGTGAACCAGTTTTCTCTAACTTTCTTACAACTATGCTGTTTTTTATGCTTAAATCAGACTTTTCTTACTTGTGACTAACGAGATGAACTAAATTACTATTATTTGTTCAATGACAGCCAGTAGCTGAGATCCAGAAAGCACGATTCATCCAGCTAAAGGCTCGTCATCTGGAGGACACATTTGAATCCCTATTGACTGGTGGTTCTCCAAGTGGAACGTGAGCCCAGCACTTATCGTCTCAAGTAGAAACTGTTACCCGATATAACAGATGCTACTCTCTAGGCTCAGTAACCTCGTGAAACTCTTGACTTCACCTCTGGACCTTCACAGGAGTAGACATTTTCGAATTAATACTCCCCCAGAAAAATCAAGGAGGATGACTATTTTGATGGTAGTTGCAAGTAAACATCTTACCACTTTGTTACACACTTATTTGACAGTAGTACGACTTCACCCTCAGATCCTCCACATATGGTAACTGCTTTCAATTTGTTTGCTATCCAAATAACTTTATGGCATGGGACATTCATTCCTGCTAGTGTAGCAATATGCAAGTTAGAACACACTGTTCAAGAAACCAGCTTTCAGAACATATTTATCCGCAACTTGTCTACACGACATTAGCTTTCAGTGTGTGCAAATCCAACTACTCTTGGGAAACCTCGATACACACACAAACACTCAGCTCAGAGAGTAAAATCAGTTCCAAACACCAGATTTCTGACTGGCTACTTTGAGGACGGCGGGACTGGTTTCCAAAGGAAACTATGTTGGTGAGCTGAATAAATTGCAAATTAATTTTGCCAACTGAGAATTTGAATTATCATTTTCTGTCCAACATTTTCCTCAAATTATTTTTGTTTGTTTTTGTTTAGCTACGAAAAGCACTGATTGACAGAGAAAAGATATCCATGACCATGGACACATATATTATAGTTGATAATTTTGTAAGTTAATGCAAGTAATTAACCAGTTTTTATTGATTACTCCATTATGGATAAGATTTTATTTTGATGAAATCACACAGTGGAGTGCTACACAGTAATATTAACTGATGACCACACGTTTCGAGCACAAACTATTGCCACTCATAATCATATTAAGCCACTCACTCACACAACTCTCTTGCTTCATTTATATACATGTGTGGAATTGACTAGACATTTGAATAAAAATCAATACAAGATAATGTACATTCAGAAATAATAATAATAATATGAGAGTTATTGATCGATTACAGTCAGATGGGAAATAAGATGAGTGTTTTTATAGTCAAAATAAATAAGTAACTTGTTAGAATGCTTGTTATGATGTACTTGAATTGAATTGAAATAGAATTTTGAGATTATTTATTATCCTCCTGTGATTTGACTGACTGGTGGTAATAATATCTTCCATATCCCTGATGTCTGCGTTGAGTCACTTCTATTGCGCATGTGTTGGGTGTAGACTCGATGAACAAGGATTCAGTAATCAATCCCTCTCTCTCTCCACCAACCTAGATTACTTCCTAGAATTTTAACCCTCTCCCACCTTATTGTGTGATTGTGTGTTAGTGCGTGAAGTGCAATTGCTAAACTTTTTTCTAAATTACTTGTCTTCTCGGGGTCAAACATTCTTACCTTAGCTAAATTCTTATGTTCCGACAACCTGATTACCCCCGACCTACTAGTTTGACCTATGTAGTTCACCTGACTCACAGTCATTGTAAGGTATTTTGTGAATTGTATTATTCTGTCAAAGTGGGTCAACCTACAAGGTTCTTTATAACTACCTGAATGAGTTTGTTGGTTTGAATGCCACCATCCTAATTCCTACTTTATTTAAAATCCTACATAGGGAGAATGTACCTGCATTGCCCAGTGAGTGCACAGGGTTCCCACTGTGAGACTCGAACCAGGCACCCATCGTTTCAAACGCCAAAACAATATCCATTTTATTACTTGGGCCAAGAGAGCCAAGGCCTCTTATGCAGTGGGTGTCAGTGATTAATTACTTTTAATTAAATTTGATTTTATGGAAGAATTCATCATGAGTTGACATCACTTGACATCACCATTGGAAAACCACAAGGGATTACGCCAGTATGCACCTACCACAAGGGTTCAAACCTACGAACTTCGGGTTACAAGGCGAGCAAGCGCGTAGACAATTAAGCCACTGGGACCTGCTCCAATCGCCAGCCACTCCATGAATTCCAACTCCTGCCAATTCACGCACGACATGGCACGACCACTGAGCAATGTCATCTTCGATGGGTTAATGCCTCACTTTCAACCTGCTGTACCCTACTGTTCACGACTTTCCACTAGAACCCCAGGCAACTAACTACCTACCTGAATAGAACCAGCCGTTAGTGACCATCAGATTAATTAGTTTTCAAATTTTGGTTTTGTAGGTATTTTTGTGCTTGACTGGTTCGAGGATTTCATCATGAGTTGATATCAGTTAGGGAACCATTGGAAAATTAAACTGGGAGTACTGGACAGCTGTTTCGTCCTGGTTTAGGACTCTTCATCAGTACGCTTCCACGAGAAGGTCCTGTGTTAGAACCCCTATGGTGGATGCAATCCCCCAACTGATTGCCCTTGGAGTCTTAATGGTGAAGAAGATACCGAGACAAGTATAAAAGTTTATTTGGTTACGGGATTTCATCATTTAGAGAACCACCGCAAAAACCTCGGAGTATCGGACAGCTGTTTCGTCCTTGTTTGGGTCTCTCCAGTGGTACACACACACCAAAGGGGTTTGAAACCACGACCTTCTGGTTACAAAGCGAGCTCGTAGAACATTAGGCCACTAGAACCCGACCAATTCAATGGCCAGCCCATGAATTCTAACCTCTACAAATTCACGCACGGCATAGAGTGACCACTAGCCAATGTCTTCGGCTAGTATTTGTCCTTACACCCCACCTGCTGTACCCTACTGTTAATGACTTCTCACTAGAACCCCAAGCAACTACCTACCTGAATAGGGCCAGTCGCTAGTGAGAACCTCATTGATTGGTGAAATCTTGAAGACTCAAACTAGGCTGATGAAACAGCTGTCCATTACTCTCCGCAGGTTTTTCGATTGATGGCTTACCAATGTCAGCTCATGATGCAATCCTGTAACCAATCAGTTAAATCCCTACAAATCAATACTTGAAAAGTGTATCTGAGAAGTTAGCTTATTGGTTTTGTAGGAATCTAGATGAATTTCAGTGTAAATTTCGTATAGACAGTTACTGAAAGCCTCCAGCTGTTTCGTCCCATTTCGAACGTCTTCAAAGTAAACACTCACAACACAAGCCGGGATCCAACCCTTAACGTTCAGATTGTGCGCCGGTGGCACAACGGTTTGGACGCTCGCTGACCACGCACATTGTCCGGGTTCAGTCCCCAGCCGACAGACGCCTGATATCAATGGTCAGCCTGCTAAATTTGGGCTACCGGAAATATTGTGTGGAATCAAGCTTTAATAAAAAAAAATAATGCGAAACTTGTAGCCCATTCAATCAATTAGGCAGGAACAGAATGTATCCACTTGGGTTCGAATACAGGACCTTCTGGTTACAAAATCCAAGGACATTACACTGAAATCAACATTTCCGCATGTACTTCCCACTGTACTTCTTTTATTTTTCTTTCCCTCATGATTTTTGTATTGTTTTACAAACACCTTTCATCTCTCGGCTTTGCGCCATAATCTTTTGCTTCGCTATTCGATATTCTTGCAAAGAATATCACATACAACATCCTACTTATATAATCATGACAGTAGTATACAAAACTAATGGCGAGTACAAATCTCCTCACTAGAGATGCATAACTTCTAACCTTTAGGCTGGATCATACAATTTTGTTTATTATACTTGTTGATACTTGTTTTATGACTCATGATTGGACAAATATTTTTAAAGACAAGAGATGTCCCCCTTTTTATCTATAAACCTGTTATGTTAACTTCGATTAATTTCTCTGAAGAAGTTCGAACCAGATTGCCGAAAGCAGTAAATGTTGGAATTACTCATTTCAATCTCGCTGAGATTTTACAAATATAATTTTTTACAAATGTCTACTTCTCACTCGGTGCCCAAATATTTTAGAACAATTCTGTCAAATCTTGATGACAGACAGTTCATTTGAATTATTTTGCAATCGAATAAAATTAACAAAGAAACTATATGTGATTGGCACAATCATCGTGTTTCCACTCTGTGTTGTCTGCAAAACAAAAATATTCTAAATCCGTAGCTGTTGAGTAACCTGACAACTACAATAGGTCGAATAAAGCAGCTCAATCTGCAGAAAGAAGACAAAGCAATAAATTCAACAGGATGCTTCAACTAAACTCTAACCCTAAACATCATAATTTTGAAAACACGTCTAATCATAAAATTCCAGATACAGAACAGACATGAAGGTGTGATCTCGTTAGCTGGTGCATAGGAAATCCTGATTAATAAATAAGAATGGATAAGTATCACTAATTAATTAATAATACTTGGTCAAAATTCCCGACTGTCTATATCTTTGTATGGAGACGTTAAGAAATGCTTTACAACTGTTTACCCCCACACACACACCCTCCGTTTAAAGTGTTTAAGAAAGGTAGACCAATATTTGTAAGTCCGAGGTCAAATTTTGATCACAGCTCATACAATTTTGTTTATTATACTTGTTGATACTTGTTTTATGACTCATATGATTGGACAAAGTTTTTATAAACAAGAGATGCTCCTTTTATATATATAAACCTCTGTTATGTTAATTTCGATTAATTTCCCTGATGAAGTCCGGACCAGATTGCCGAACGAAACGTTGGAATTACTCAATTCAATCTCGCTGAGATTTTACAAATATAAAATTTTTTTTACAAATTTCAGACTAGTCGTCATTGTTATTTTTAAGACATTATCGTTTTGAATCCGGTGTGTGTGTGTTTTTGCGTGTGTGCATGTTTGTTGCACATCAGTCTATGCATTATTAATCCCTGTGTTCGAATCCTATAACTTTTATTTCTACTTATCAGCACACTATGTTTGAAGCAAGCAGAAGGTATATCACTGCACCAATCAATGAAACACCATTCACACTGGGTTTAGCAATACATTGGGATAAAAATACTCAGAAAGGTTATGCGATACCAGATTATCGATTTAATAAACAAGATTTGTTTAAAAATCTTCAAGGTGAGTAAATGTTTATTTATTTATTGATTAAAAAAAATTAATCAATGATTTTGTCTAACAGTAATAATAATAATTGTTCTTTTGCTTGGAAAATGATCCCTTACATGTGGGGAAAGGCATAAAATGGATCCATACGAAAACAAAACTTGGAGGATCTGGACTTCGCCGATAACATATATATGTCTGATTTCCCACAAACTGGAAGACATGCGAGTGAAAAGCAACAAGTTGGCAGAAGAAGCATCAAAGATAGACCTACACTTCAGGTAAACATAGAGAAAATAGAGTTAGGTGATGAGGATTCCTGGCCAACAGCACCAGCACCAGACAACAATCAGCATAAATAAGAGAAATCTAAAAGAAGCAACCTCCTTTACTTACCTGCCTCAGAAGCATCATTTCAACTACAGGCGGACAGAACTGATGAGGATATCAAAGCAGCGAGGATCAGGAAAGCAAGGCAAGCTTTCACCACTCTCAAGTCTGTGTGGAGATAAACCGGACTGACTCAGCATGAAAAATAAGATCCGGATTTTCAGATACAGTATGAAGTCAGTGCTACTATACGGGCCAAAGACTTGACGCCTCACGAAGTGCACCTCAAACAAACTACAGACCTTCATCAACAGCTGTCTTTTCTAAATACTTCACTCAAGACCAGATGGCGGCTGGAAAAGATCAGCAACAGGGAGGGATCTCTGGCAATGAGCGAACCAACCCAGCAGGAAGAAACGGAGATGGATGTATTTTCTAAAGGAAGCAACTTCTCTACGCCTTCATGGCTCTCTCTAGCATCTCTATATAGCCACATTATGTACACCTTATCTCCAACCCACCATTTTTGCACAGATCTTCCGTGCTGTGCCTGCTACTTCTCGCCTTCCTTCATATTGTGTGTGTGTTTCCTTGTGTTCCTTTCACGTCCCCCATCTATCTCCGCCAAACATGTATCATTTGCTTTCTTTGAAATTCAATCTATCTCCCTGATATTTGATGTTTCATTATGGCTACGAACATCTCTTTATATATATGTATATACACTACTGATAAATTTTATCAGTAGCACATGCACATTTGCAAATTATTCAACAAACAATTCGTATTGAAACATGTTGAACTGATATGTACATATAAACATAATCTAAGTTTTAAAAAGTGTTTTTTAGACTTACCGCTTTCTTAGTTTTATTAACTGACATTTTCAACGAATCGTTTTCCAAAAGTATTTTACCTGACTCATGGAAAAATATCAAAATTGTTCCAGTGTCTAAAACAACAAGTGGACCTAATGTTAAGTTTAGACCCATTGCTATTACCTCACCCTTTTTGAAAGTTATGGAAAGACTTATTTTACTTAATCTTGATCCCTCTTTAAAACCTTTCAACGACCCCAACCAGTTTGCTTATAAACATAGTAGGAGTACGTTAGATGCCGCTGTCGTCCTCCACCATAGCATAGTCTCTAGTTTAGATAAAGGAGCTAAATACGTTCGCTGTGCCTTCCTTGATTACACATCTGCATTTGACTCTGTACCCAGGTCTCTCTTGCTAAGTAAGCTTGCTGCAACACAGGCTGAGAGCTGGACAAATAAGTGGTTGCATTCCTATTTTTCTGATAGGAAGCAGTACACCATCTACAATGGAAAGTCCTCCACTACCTCACTTACTTTAGCTGGTGTTCCTCAAGGTGCTGTTCTTTCTCCTTTTCTGTTTTCTTTTTTCTTACATGACTTGCCCCATTCTGATGTAGCCACTTTTGTTAAGTATGCCGATGACCTCTTGGTCTCTATACCTGTCAACTCTCAGTCAGATTGTTCCAAATTAAATAAATTTCCGTTGGAGATTAGTCAGTGGTCCTCATCAAACGGTCTTAAGCTGAATCCGTCTAAATGTCAGGTAGTCAATTTCACTTTCAGACGAAAACGTGACCTACAACACCTAGCTAGTTCACATGGCCCCACTATCATTGACGGCATAGAGGTTGAAAATACATCTAATGTCAGGTACCTTGGACTGAGTATTTCCACCGATATTTCCTGGTCCTCCCACTTCTTGCTAGTTACCAGAAAGATGTTTCGCTTAACGTTCTATGTTAGGAAATTAAGGCAGTCTGACATAAAGCAGTCTTTGCTTTCTCAGTTTGTCAACTCTTGTATTTTACCCATCCTCCTTTACTGCTCCCCATTAATCTTTCCTGGACTACTTAAGAAAGACTTTGCTTCGCTGAGAAGGGTACTAAAAGCCGTTAGTAGGGCAAGTGGGATATCGTTCAACCAACTGGTTAACACTATTGTAGATAGACATATTATATCATGTAAGAAACTAGCGAATATGATATTGCCGGACCCCGAGCATCTTCTCTATACGCAGCTGTCTCCTTGCATTTCATCTGGTAAAACTAGAAGCAGCTATATGAGTCTGGCTATATGCTAGGGCTACCAAGTACAAAAATTCCACAATACCATATCTGGCACAGCTGTCATGTGATGAGAAATCCGTTTGGTATGACACGATCAACTTACAGCGCGGCACTCTAACAAATAGTCCCATTAGCTTTTGTTTTCCTTTCTTTGTTACTATTATAATGTTGTTCACATCTTCTATCACAAACTAATTTAATATTTCATATCCCGTTGTGCATTGTTTAAAGTGTAAACGCAACGCTGTTCTTTTTGTTTATTTATTTTTCTATTTATCTTCTTTCTTGGGGTGTTGCTTTTTGATTTTAAAATCTTATAAAATTAATGAGGTGATTGGATGCAATATATATTGTAATGCACGCTGAAAATTCCATACCTGTACCACAAATACTGTTTGGAATAAAGCTATTAGTAGTAAAAAAAATTATTAAAAAAAAACAATTTTAGCTAATGGTGTATACATTTTAGGGAATTGTTCTTTTGATGCAATCATGGAATCCTAAGAAAAGGAAAGGAAAGAAAGGATACATGTGTATAAAAAACACTAAAATAGACGAAGAGGAAATGCTAGTCAGCTTTGATGTAAACAGTCTCTGTATGCTAAAATGCCCATTCATTCAGATGGCAATGAATGGGCACTGAACGTGAGACTGAAAAGAAAAGATAATGGCTTACAAGACAGGATAAGTGTATCCGTAGAAGAAATAATAAAAGGCAGTTGAATTCTGTCTGTCTGACAACAGCAACAACAACAACATATTTCACATTTGAAGGAAAAATATGCCAACAAAATGAAGGAGGAGTAGCCGTGGGAACACCCATCTCACCAGTAATGCCTGATATGTTCGTGGATTTTTGGAAAGAGAATGCACCTAAACCATTCAGTTCATCAATAAAGTGTTGGTGGAGATGCGTAGACGACACGTCAGTAATAAGGAAGAAGAAAACTAAACGATGTTGAGAAATTCTTCTCACACACATAAACAGTCATATCGACTCAATAAAATTCACTATGGAAGCAAAGAATGAAACATTGGGGAAACTGCCTATGTTAGGCTGCAAAATACAAAGAGTAACAGATAGTAGGTAGCATAAAAACGCCACAATATAGAAAAACCACACACTCTGGAAGATGCCTTGGTTATCACTCAGCTCATCCATTCACGGTAAAACGAGGATTAATACAAGGTCTTGCAGATCGGATAAGTAGACTTATAACAACACCAGATGTTACTCGACAACAACTATCCCCCAAAAGAATTTACTAGAGAAAAAAGAGGGTAAGACCAGAGAATCACAAGAAGGAGGAAGGTGAAAACAACAATCACGATACCATGCATAGATGGTACATCAGAGGCGTAATTCGAAGAAACCTCAAAGATACTGGGATTCACATTACGTTTAAACCGACAAATTTAATTCAAAATAAGATAAATCAACTGAAAGATACCATAAAAATGATGGATAAAAGTAGTAATGTAATTTACAAATAGATTTCTTGTGCTGAGTGTCCAACTAAATATGTGCGTCAAACGTCCAGATCACTCAAAGTAAGAGTGAATGAACATGAACACCTAACTAAAGGTCAACCAACAGGAACACCACGCTTACAAGAATTGAGAAAAATAAATTGTCTATAGTGGACTGCACATGCAGCATGGAGCAAAACCACACTATCGATTGGAACAATGTTTGTGTATCCTGAAAACGAATATAAACAAATGGAAAGAGAGACTACTAATAACAGAATCTATATTCATTAAGGTCACGCCGTTGGATATATGGAACAAGGGTGACTCAGCAGCACAACTGTCAACAACCTGGAATAGAATTCCGAATACACAGAAATGAATCAAGAAAAAGAAAAGGGCTATATCAGTGAATACAAATCATAAAAGTGTCAATTAAAAGAAAAGAAAACAATTCCAACAGTTGATGTGGGAACACGAGGAGTGATTCTGCTTGATATGTTGCCAAAAACACTAAAATTTACCATTGTATGTAAACCATAGAAATATAATTATGCCTTTATTTGATCTATTCCATAATGCTGAAATTTTTTACTGTCATTAACTGAAAATGTGTAAACGGCAGTCGAAGTGCACTATCAGACTTCACTAAAAAAGATAAAGGGAAACAGAGGCTGTGTTGCCAACTTGAAGATACTATATCGTATTCTGTGTTAATTCTTACCTCTTCTTTGCTTTATTCAATTATTGTCTGTTACAGTCAGTGACTTCAGTTGTCTAGCTCCTAAATACGGTGAACAGAATGTCGATTGTGATTCACATGGTAATAATAGCCAGATTGGTGCAACAATGATTCCTTAGTAAGTTTATCTGATTCCTTTATGCCTAATGATTTATATTATGATAAATGATATTGGTTAATTTACAGAAAAAATAATAATGTTGACTACAAGCATACATGCAATCAGGGATTATATATGTAGAAATAATAAAATAACAAAATAGACTGGAAGTTCGAATATGAAAATATGGTAGTGTTAACAGGAATTAGGAAAACTTAAAAATAAAATAAGTAAACACGGAGTTTAGATAAGAAAGGAAACAGAATGGTCATTACTAGAAGAATTACCTGTTTATGATGGCCATGGCAGGGACAAAGGTTGGACGTATTTCTTTTGTATACAAAGCGTGGGTTTGAGCTTTTGGATGACTAGTGCCTCGGCTATGCCCAGATGTCTTCATTTCACTCTCTTTGATAGGTTTGATCGAATCTTGTATATTATTTTGAAGGATATTTCGAATGGTGCTGAATGTCCTGAATTGACCAGATGTTCTGTCACTGAACTGTATACTCGTTTTCGTTCTCCTTTTACTAGCCAGGCTGGATAGTTAGTGTTTACGAGCGCGTTTTTCAAGTCGGCGTATGGTACGGCCAACGTACTCATCTCCACAAGAGCAAGTAAACTGGTATATGTACGTTGCAGTGACCCAATGCGACAGCTTATCTTTCGCGTTCTGGCTGAAGATTTTCTTGCAGGAAAGCGTTAGTCGTAAGCTCGTGACGAAGTATATCTTCCCCAGAGATTTGAAGAGGCGTTTACGAAGGATTTCTGTTTCATTGTCACCTTTGAATTCTAGATTAAGCCGAAGTATCTTCTTCGGGATGGATTAAACTCGTTCGGAAGTCTTCTTTAATCTGTGATTCTTGTCTATGATGAACCTGGGCGGAAAACCGTTTTCTATCAGGCTTCTTCGGAGAATACTCAGTTTTTCGTCAATCACCTTCTCGCTGGAATTGTTCTCCTAAACAAGTCGAGCTATGGGAAGAAACTCTGGTTAATTCTATCTGATGATAATAAATTTCAAAAACAGACGATCCAAAAAGATCCAACTGAACAGACGGAGCTTCAGCTAACCAACTTATTGAAAAAAATGAAAGATGAATCGATTATTAATACAGAACTACACGAACAACTTCGCTCATCTGGTTCCACATCGCCACAAATGTATGAACTACCCAAAGTGCAAAAAAAGACGTCCCACTCCACCCAATATTAGATATGATTAATTCGCTATATCACCTAATCACGAAGTGGCTGGCTGACTCAATTAAAAATGTCAACCTCGAAAATAAAAAGATGGTTTCCCTAGACATCGTCTCTCTTTTCACCAATGTTCCACTGATAGAAACTTTATGTTTTCTCAGTTACTTCATCCAATGCGACAGCATAGAAGTCAAAATGCCGATCCATTATCTGAAGGAGGTATTACTACATTGTACCTTGAACGTCTACTTCAGATTCAACAATGAAATCTACAGGGAAACAGATTGCGTAGCAATGGGCTCTCCAATCGGACCCCTCCTAGCCGACTGTTTTATGGCCAGCATCGAAAACAACCCCTTGTCATCAACTATAGACGACCTCCATCTGTACAAAAGATACATCGATGATACTTTCATCATTTGTGATGAGAACCTGGACCTTGAAAACTTACTTCAAACATTCAACAATGCCCACCAAAAAATCGACTTAATTCTTGAAGCCGAATCTGACCGAATGTTCCACTTCATACGCCAACTTGAAAAACGCGCTCATGAACACTAACTATCCAGCCTGGCTAGTAAAAGGAGACCAAAAGCGTGCATACAGTTCAGTGACAGAACATCTGGCCAATTCAGGACATTCAGCGCCTTTCGAAATATCCTTCAAAGTAATATACAAGATTCGATCAAACCTATCAAAGAGAGAGAAATGAAGACATCTGGGCATAGCCGAGGCACTAGTCATCCAAAAGCTCAAACCCACGCTTTGTATACAAAAGAAATACGTCCAACCTTTGTCCCTGCCATGGCCATCATAAACAGGTAATTCTTCTAGTAATGACCATTCCGTTTCCTTTCTTATCTAAACTCCGTGTTTACTTATTTTATTTTTAAGTTTTCCTAATTCCTGTTAACACTACCATATTTTCATATTCGAACTTCCAGTCTATTTTGTTATTTTATTATTTCTACATATTTAATCCCTGAATGCATAAACAATTATTCATTACATTAGTTTTTATCCTAAAATCCTGTCTATTCTGTTATTTCTACATTTCTAACCCCCAATTGCACTGGTCTATGTACGTTGAAGTGGCCCAATGCGACAGCTTGTCTTTCGCGTTCTGGCTAAACAGTTTCTTGCAGGAAAACGTTAGTCGTAGGCTCACAGCAGAGTATGTCCTCCTCAGAAATTTGCAGAGTCGTTTACAAAGGATTTCTGCTTCAATGTCACCTTTGAATTCTAGATTCAGCAGAAGTAACTTTTTTGGAACGAAATGAACTCGTTCAGAAGTCTTCTTTGATTTGTGATTCTTGTCTTTGATGAACCTAGTCGAAAAAATATTTTTTATAAGGGTTTTTCAGAGTGTACTCAGTTCCCTATGATCGAATGTGTATATTCCGTAATATATATATATAACATTTAATTGATGAAGTAATTGGTATTCAGTCCCATAGCCATGGCACTAAGTAGCACAAAAAAAGACCTAAATGATGAAATAAAACAGGAAGAGGAAGCGTTGGTGTTGAATAACTATCCTATAAAATTCATTAGGAAGATCAGCAAAAACCAAAAGCAAAATAAAAATAATGGTGAAACTATTAATGATAACACAAATAAGAAAGAATATAAGTCATCCACTGTTATACCATATAAGGAAGCACATCTGAGGCTCTACGTGGATTCTTAATAAAGCAGGAATTAGGGTGGCATTCAAACCTACAAACTCACTCAGAGACAAGCTCTGTAGGCTAAAAGACCCGGTGGATCCAATTAAACAAAATAATATAATTTACAAAATACCCTGCAATAACTGTGAGGTCAACTACATAGGTCAAACTAGTAGGTCAGGGATAGTCAGATTAACAGAACATAAGAATTTAGCTAAGGTAAGAATGGTTGACCCTGAAAAGATAAGTAATTTAGAAAAAAGCTCAGCTATTGCACTTCATGCAATAACAAACAACCACACAATAGGGTGGGATAGGGTTAAAATTCTAAAAAGTAATATAGCTAAGTGGAGAGAGAGGTTGATTATGGAATCCTTATTTATCGAGTCCACACCCAACACATGCAACAAAAATGACTCAATGCAAATACCAGAGATATGGAAGATATTATTACCGCAGGTCAAATCAGAAGAGGGTAATAAATAATATTAAAATTCTATTTCAATTCAAACACATTCTAACAAGCAGCTTATTATGACTGTAAAAACACTCGTCCAATTTTCCCATCTAATTGCAATTGATCAGCAACACTCGTACGATTATTTCTGAATGTACATTATCTCACATTGATTTTTAATCCAATATCTAATCCATTCCACACATGTATATAAATGAAGATCAAAGTTGTGTGAGTAACTTGATATGATTATGAGCAATAGTTTGTGCTCGAAACGTCATCAGTTCATATAACTGTAAACACTGTGCGATTTATCAAAATAAAATCTTATCCATAATGGAATTATACTCTACCACAGTGCCCAAGTTTTATACTTATATCAATGGTATTTCAGTCGTTACCATCGGCAACATCAGTTGAAAAGAAATCTTAGATCCAGATTTTATGCATATTAACACTGTATAACAATCGAAGTAACTGATATGCCCTTTCGGATTTCCACATGCATGTCACCTAGTATTGAAGTCAGAGGTATTATCACTGAGCAACTGTAACTGTGACTGATCTCCTGTAGAACTGTCATTTAACCACTGCTAACGACTACACAGAAGTAATTTGGAAACTATTCGAGTACCCCAGAATATACATCAGCTGTACGACAACGGTAGTACATATCAAGTGATCCACAACGGAAAACTCAGCGAGGCGTTTGAGGTAAAGAAAGGAGTCAGACAAGGGTGCTTATTATCACCCACGATGATATTCCTAATTGTGGTGGACTGACTGGATTATGCGTCAGACAATAGGAGACGAGAAGACATGGATATCCTGAACCAACCGACGTGAAGAACCTAGAAGACCTGGATTTCGCGCGTGGGTGATTTATGTTTGATGTCACACAAAATCGAAGACTTACAAGCGAAAACCGACAAACTGGTCGAAGAAGCAGCCGGCGAAGACAGGACTCAAAGTGAATATAGACAAGACGAAGGTTATGAAAATAACCAACCAACCAACCAACAACAACAACAACAACGACGAGAGCAACCTCCAGCGCCAATCACCATCAACAAGAGTGATTTGAAAGAGGTAACTTCATTCACTTATCATCTAGGGAACATTGTCTCTCAACTACAGGCAATTGGAAGGCACGAGGATGTCAAATCGAGCGAGAATCGAGAAGGCGAGAAACACATTCATCAACCTGAAACCAATCAGGAAATCTTTGTCACCCAACTCTGCATCAACAACAATATTCAGTCGGATTTTCAATACAAACAACGTCAAGTCAGTCAGTTCTTCTATACAGAAGGGATCAGAAACTTGGTGGGCATGCGGGTCACAAAGAATATTTCCAACAGCCTGTTGCACAACTTTATCAAACAACAACTGTCTTGCCTCTATACTGAAGATCAATCAGATGGCCGGGCGGGAAAGAACCACTAACAAGAAACTATGGGAACAAACAAAACAAGAACCAATCGCCAACCAACAAATATGCAGGAGAAAGTGGAATGAGATGGACTGGACACTCATTGAGGAGGCTGGTGGGTGACATCGCGCGCCTCAGGCCATTGCTCGAGTGGAACTAGGCCGAAAGGAAAGCGGCGAGTGAGACGTAAGTGAAAGGGTGACATGGAGGAGATGGTGTGAAGAGGGGTTGAAACAGTATGGACTAACATGGATGC